TTTGACACGGTACCTTATTTTGAAGGTATTTTTGATACGTTAATTGGTGTTTTGATGAGGAAAGATCTTGGGAGATCTTTTTGACAAAGTACTTTATTTTGAAGGTATTTCTGACGCACCGATGGTTCTTTTGCTGGACAATGCGCTTGGAGGATTTTTTTGACAAGATACCTTTATTTCAAGGTATTTTAAAGACTTTAATTGCTGTTTGGATTGAAAAAGAGGTTGAAAGATCGTGCTTTCGATCGGTGATTCACGGCGCAGATCCTTCAGAGATCAGCCGGAAACGGTGAATTTTCTGGCCTCTTCCCGCCGTTTCCGGTGTCTTTCCCGCCGGAAATGACCGGAAAAACACCCGGAACATGGAAGCAGTATTCCGGCCGGAAATTTCTCGTACCCGGAAACGTAGCGTTCCGAAAATTTTCCGCTGGCGGAAACTCACGGGAAGAAAACAATAACCCGCAGGAACTGACCGGAAACCGCCAAGGAACGAACCGTTTCCTACCGGAAAACTCTAAGGATCCGCTCCCACATTCTTTGAAAGATCTTTGAAAATTTTTTTTCAACAAAATTTTGGGTGTTCCCAAAAAAAATTATTTTTTCTCAAAAAGTCTATTGCTGCATTAAAAAGAAAATTTGCAAAAATTTTTTGAAAGATCTTTGAAAGATCTTTGAAAGATCTTTGAAAGATCTTTGAAAGATCTATGAGAGATCTTTGAAAGATCTTTCAAAGAATGTGGGAGCGGATCCTTAGAGTTTTCCGGTGGGAAACGGTTCGTTCCTGGGCGGTTTCCGGTCGGTTCCTGCGGGTTATTGTTTTTTTCCCGTAGATTTCCGTCAGCGGGAAATTCTCGGAACGCTACGTTTCCGGGTACGAGAAATTTCCGGCCGGAATACTGCTTCCATGTTCCGGGTGTTTTTCCGGTCATTTCCGGCGGGAAAAACACCGGAAACGGCGGGAAGAGGCCGAAAAATACACCGGAAACGGCCGGTTCCTGCAGGTTCCGGAGGCCGGAATCATTGACCTGGGCAGTAGAATTCTATTCAAAGTTTTTTTTTCATACAGATAATCTAAACAAATACTAGTATCAAGTATTAATGTTGACATGATGAAAGCAATATGACCTGTGTTTGATATTGTATATCAGAAAACTAGAAAGCATTCGTGCATCAATAAAAGTATACAGTTTTGCAGAGAATCATGATAGAATCTTTTAGAAACAAATTATTTCGAAATAGAAATGGCTGGTTAAAATATATAAAGAAATACTGAAAGGATCACTTATTTTACCGCAAACGTTAGCAATAGTTTTGTGAAACTCTTTCTGGCTATCCCATTAAGAATGACGCTTTCTCAATTACACATAAAACTCACATATCTCAATTGTTTTCTATGCAGACATCCGATAGGATCAGTATTGATCTACTCAGTATCTCAAATACAGAAGGTATCAAATTCCAAAGATGTACTTGAAATCCTATCAAATTTACTCAGTTTCGCATGCATTCAAACCTTCTTATGATGTTGTTAAGATCCTATCAAAATACTGGTCCTTAAGGTTCTTCAAACATATAGAAGTCATAGCGCACTCCTAACAAGATGCAGATAGAGTCTTCTCAGGATTTTTCCAGTTTAGGAGTTTCACATAGGTCATTATTTTATTGCTTAAGGTCTTCCCCTCAAAAAGGTCACTTTTCATCAGAATGATCGAAATTAAGATAAATGCATAGAAAGATAGTTCATTGTTTGATCTTTCATAAACGACAAAAATTTTTACTCGGCACCTCGCTTTTTCCAAAAATTTCTGAAGATTTCTGTCATCCTCTATTCGAAAAATAAGCTGTTTTCAGAAAAAACAAAAAAAATCTTTTTCTTTTCTTTCTCCATTTATAGTTTCTTGAGCGCGCAATTCAAATTTTTCTGTCGATACTCAGGCAATATATTTATTTTTCTTTTTTTGGTTGAAACAGCGTATCGAGACACAGTGCAGTACAGAGCGCTTTTTTAGTTAAGGTTTTTTTTATATTATATATATGGACACTTATGTAACTCGACACTCATTTTTAAGGGTTTTTTGAGTCATTGAACTTTCGATCCCTTACTTTTCTTTTAAAAAGTAAGTATTTAAAAAAAAAGACTCAATGAGCTATCTTTGACTCTCGTTCGGTCAACATCTCTCTCAAATGTCATGATATCGGACTGAAAATTGTACCATAGTCTCCCCACATCAACCTGAACATATCCTGGAAATTTCATGTCATTTGAACGTTCCGAAGGTGAGATTGATTTTTGAATGCGGAGCCTTAAACGTTTATTTTTCTTTCTTTCATTGTTCACTCCAAGTGTACGGTAAAGGAAGTCAGATTTCTCTGCGTAATGTATCACTAGAAAGGAAAGTACGAGCCAAACGTCTTGTCATATTGATGTTTGATCACTTCAAGGGAAGCAAAACTTTCAAGTATTTGAGGAGTAGAAATATGTCCTGACTTTCTCTTCATTTTTCACTCAATTCATTTTCGAAATATGTGCGATTTAGTAGATCTTCTAAATCGTTAGAAAATAGGTATTCGTAAGGTATGCTATTATCGACTTTTCTCTGATTCAATCAAGGAGGTTCCTCCAAAAATGAAATGGTACGCGTTAGAAAAGTTTCAAATCTCTCTCTAGGTTTCTGTATTTATTAAGAAGGTTCTCTTTTGATGTCACTTGTTATGCAAGAAGACGAATATGTACGTCTAGTTTTTGATAGCAACTGAAAACGCGAAATTCAGAATCAGGATGTGAGTGTTGGTACGAATCTGAATGAAGAAAATGGCAATACTCGCAGTCACACTTCTTAGCGCCCACATCTTTAAACCAGATCTCGACAAAACTCTGATAAAATCTTGTCACAAACCATTCCATCATTGCACTCAAAAACTCGAATAGGATCGATTGTAAATCCTACTAACATTCTGTACTCCTGCTATGAAAAAAAATTTCTCCTGAAACTTGTACATAGCTCGAGAAAGGTCATGCGAAGATTATCAATGAATTCTTGTATTTTCCTATGAAGATTCTGATAACAATTAACATCAATTTGCGAGAACTCCAAATGCTGATTCTTCAAAACTTCCGAACATAATCCTGAACATTTACAGTAGAGATTCTAACAACAGATATGTTTCAGGTATCAGGAATCCTTTGAAAAATACATTAAAATGCGCTACAATCTCGTTAAAACAGTGTTTTTAAGAGCTCTAGCTCACTACTATAACATTTACTCTCGATGGGCATCAATTGGTGAACAGAAAACTTCATAGAACAACAAATTCTATATAAGCCTCTTGCATTGATTAAGTGTTCGTTGGATATAGACATTATTAATTAACTGTATACTTGATCTGTTTTTCATGCTATATTCACTTTGTTATTTCTCATGTTTGTTCGAAACATATGTTATAAGCAGTAGAAAATAGAAATATATTTATGATAATTACGATGCTAAGTAATTATTCGATTCTGCTTCGATAACATTTGCTTGATATTCATGTAAATGGATGAAATATAATCAGTGTGTTATAATAAATTTTCACTTGAGGCCACTCTTCTCTAAGAAAGTCAATTTTCGTCAAAAGAATCAAAACTAAGATAAATTCATGAGATAATACTTCAATGCCCAATCTTCCACAAGTAACATGATTTTTTTTTATTTGACAACTTACTTTTTCAAAATTTTTGATGATTTCTGTCGTCGTCTGCCTGAACAATATGCTGTTTTCAAGAAAAAATCAGAAAAAGTTTTTCGTTTTTTCTCTGTTTATGCATTTTTGATCGTGTAACCTAGAATTCTATGTGGGCTCTCGTTCTATATATATTAAATTTGTATTATAAGAGCGTCATTTTTGGAAGGTTTTCAGGATATTGAACTTGTCATCCTTTGTTTCCGCATAAAAAAGTAAGAATTTAAAACAAAAGGACTCGACAGACACTGCAATTTGACGTACTCGTTCGAATAGAAAGAAGTCAAATATTCAAAATGAAGGTCAACAGAGAATTTCGGGTTGCCAAATGAGGTATTCTTGATTCTTATTTGATGAATTCGCTACAGCCCTAACATATCCTGATAATTTCAGATGATTTGAAAAATTAGTCTTCGATATCAGTGAAAAATGTTTGATTTGTAAAAAAAAACATGCATAAACCTCGGAAAAATTCAGATCGACCGTTTACCCTTACTGATTCTAACACAGTAACGACCTCAACTTGCTTAATATCTTATGAGGTGAAGGGGCCATTAATATATAAGATTAATCTCTTATGAAAAAAGCAAATAAGGACTCATTAGGCTTATAGATATGTTCAGGAATACAGTATGATAAAAATTCAATTTCTGAATTCTATGTGACACATTGATTCAACGGACGTAAATCAAGCCAGTTCGGTGACTAGTTAAGATTGTCAGACAATGTCAGCAATACAGCTCTGGTTTCGACAGGCCATTTTTTTTGTCAATATACATTTTTTTTCTTCTCTAATAGACTTTAAGCTACGTAAGGGTGAGATCAGAGATGGGTGCGATTCGGTCTTAGTTAATTTGATGCAGTTTAGATCAGAATATCAATATGTAAGTTAAGACAAGTGACCATGAGGGTATTCATATCGTTTCTTGTCTTTTTTCGTCTAAAATAAAGCTTGCTAGCGCAGTACGATCATGTTCACCACGGTTAGTAAAACCGTAACTAACTGCAATATGTAATACCGCGATTTGATCCTAGGAAATCGGGATTTTATTCAAAAGATTTTCCTGTAAGTAATGATATTATTTATTGTAAAATTGGACCAATAAAGAAAACACTGTATTAAAATGATTATTTGATGCTGAAAAGTTTTTTTCTTAAAAATATTTGAATAAATTCATAATAAAAAATAGAGGAAATGTTAAAATAGTTTGAAATAGAAAAGTCATTTTTTTTATTTGAAAGTCATATTCATTGAAAAAAGACTATTCAAATCTTTATTATTTAGTTTCACGAACATCTATTTATAAAATATTTGAAAAGAGATTAAAACAAAAGATTTGATTATCCATATATGGGTAATGTTTTTTTTCTATAATGTAATATATTCGACATGATAGATTCTTCAGATAGTGGTATTAAAGCTATCAACTGAAAAGAAAATAGTCCGAATTCCATGGAGATCATGAAAAACTATAGTTCTCTTATTATACATGACTAAGCATTTTACATCGCACATTTTTCAGCAGAAACAAAAATATTCTTGTAATGTCTAAATAATTAAAACTGAGCAAGAATATGAATATCAAAAAAATTCTGGTCCTATATCCAATACAAAAGATGGAGGAAACTAGACAGACTAGTAAAAATCTTACATACATTGCACGAGAGAATATGCTTAACTTTCAATGTGAAACTGAAAATAACGCTTCTGAGTTGCATGAACAGAGAGCACAATAAATCAGCTTAAGTTATTAAAAGTTTAGCTCATTCTCTGTAATATTGAATACATGAAATTTTTATTAATCTTTTACTTAAGATGTTATAAACATATTGTATTTTTGCAAAAAGTGTAGAATGTAAAATATTTAGTCATAATCAATAGAGTCACTATAACTTTTCATGATATCCATGTGATTTGAGCTACTTTCTTTTCATATTATAGCTTTGATCTTTCAACTTTTGGGTCACCTTTTAGGATAGCAACATTTCTTTCATTATCATTCAGTCAAACTATTTGATAGGGAATTTCACTATAAATACTTGTATCGAAGAAAAATAATGGAGACAATTAGATATTCTACGAATTGTAAAAGAATCAATGAACTATAAAAGAAATATCGTCATTCTCGATGAAAGTTGATAGCAATATTCATAGAAATATGTCGCTTACTCAATGTCCACATCGACTCAGAACATATGATTATTTTGAGGACTGTCTAGCATATCGCTGTCACTCACAATTAAATCCTATAGTTCGATTTCGATACTCGGGAACTTATCCGAATGAAAAATCAATTTATTATTAAAGATGAAATAAAACATTGATCAACCATATAAATGAAGACTATCAGTGAATGTTTTTAGCGATTTCACTGAAATAGATAATGATAGAGAGATGAAAGGTTGAAACTTTAGAACTAAGATGCTCACAAAATATACAAATATATCCATAGATAATTTTTGTTTGATCATTTTCTTCACCAATTATTTCAAATACGTTTGAAATTTGAGTTCTTCATTGCTTTATTATTGTCTATCTATATATTTCTTAATGACATTTGAGACATTTGGGGATATTTTTAATATAGTAGAACATTGGCACTGCAAAAAAAGATTCGATAAAACAAATGAAAAGAAAACTTTAAGGAATCGATGTAAAAATGGTGAAAACTGGTTGATTAGTCATCAAAAATAAATGTAAACAGACACGATGTGATTAAGAGAGGTTTCGCCAGTCCATCGAGAATCATTGGAGAATGATGAAAAAAAAAAGTTAGTTTTTTTTATCTTATTCGATTCCTTGAAGAAAAATAAGGTTATGAAAATTTTTTTAGACTTTCAGGACTTTTCTTAATGGAGTTATAGGCTTACGAACAAGTGGGGGGGTCAAAAAAATTTCAATAAAAACATGCTTTTCGTTTTTTTCTAGTATTTCGGCTATAACTCCGTCATTTTTCATCCTTTTTTTCTACGCCACGTCTTATTCGAAAGAGCTCGTCAAACTGAACAAAAAACTCTCTTATGAAATTCCCAAAAAGTGAAAACTTCATAGGGAAAAAAATGCGTCTTTCAAAGCACCCAGGTTATTCGGAACCAGATTTTTTTCAGTGCAAACCTTTTTTCGAGGTTGCAGAAGTCGAATAGGAAAATCTAGTGTAGTGCATCTTGTAGAGAATTTTGCGCTCTACAAAATCCATATAAAAAATTTGAGAAAAAAACATCGCGTCATGTCGTAATTTTCAAGACAAAGAAGAAAAAAGTACCTTTTTCCTATGTGAAATTATAGGACAAGCCAAAATCCTCGATCATTTAACCATTAACTATCCATTTTCAAGCAAAAC